CTGTGTTCACACAAACAGCACATGACATTCACACACCCATGCAGCATTCCTGCCTCTGGCACACCCTGGGGACCCCGTGGTGACCTGGCACAGCCCTGCTCACCTGTCACAGTGGGAGCTCTCCCTGGAGCTGCTCCTGCCCGACTCATGCTGGGCGTCCAGCAGGATCTTCTCCATGTCCCCGTTGTGGATGGAGAGCGAGGCTGGCACCTGCTCCTGGCTGCCCGTGGACACGGAGCTGCTGCTGCCATTGCTGAAGTGCAGCTCCACCCAGGACCCTGCGGGCAGAAAGCAGCGCTGAGCACACGGCCTGGGGCTGCCAGTGACACTGCAGGGACACGGGCCAGCCCTGCTGCCCGGCTCATAAACAGCCCGGAGTGCAAAGGGCAGGCAGCTGGGCTGGGAGGGCTCGCAGCGCTGGGAGGGAGCTGCTCAGCAGTACATTGTGTTTCTTTCTCTCTGCACATACAGATCTTGTAGGGTATGCTCAATTTTTATTGTTCAACATAGGTGGCAGTCAGGATAATCTCAAGGACGTTTGCTGCCAAGGTTCAGTTGTTCGTTTGTTGAAATGACTTTGGGCTCAGGGGCTGTTTAGTGCAGCCTTTCTCCAGTGCCATTTGTAGGTGCTGCTGTTAAGCAACTGCGGGAGTGTGGCAAGGCTGTCATGGGTTTGCTGCTAGCAGTATATTTAACACGGTCACATGGCCTTTGTTTTCCTAAGGGAGGGAATAACAACTCGCTCCTGGGCAGGGACAGCTCACTGCAGGGCCGGGAGCTGCTCCCTCCCTCTGGAATCCTGGAATGCTTTGGGTGGGAGGGTCCCCAAATCCCCCCAGCGCCACCCCAGCCATGGCAGGGACCCCTCCCACTGTCCCAGGTGCTCCAGCCCCAGTGTCCAGCCTGGCCTTGGGCACTGCCAGGGATCCAGGGGCAGCCCCAGCAACAATTCCCAATTCCCAATATCCCATCCAGCTCTGCCAGGGAACAATTCCCAATTCCCAAAATCCCATCCAGCCCTGCCAGGGAACAATTCCCAATTCCCAAAATCCCATCCAGCCCTGCCAGGGAACAACTCCCAGTTCCCAATCTCCCATCCAGCNTGGAGCCCCTGACACAGCGTGACATTGGTGTCCCTGTCCATGGTAGGAGTGCTTTAAGGGCCCTCACAACCCAAACCATTATAGACTTTTGATTCTCTTCTGTGCTATTTAATCTAACAAAAAGAACGGTCTTTTATTTTTCTTCCCAGCTGCTTGCTCTCGCAGTCATTTTAAATGTGATTTGTCTCATCCAGATTACTTTTCCTTTCAGTTCATGGGATGCCTCTAGTGACACTGCTAAAAATGGAGACAGATTAGAAAACACATTGGAGTCCCGTTGACTTTTGCCTGTTATTTCACACATTGTGATACAGCCAGAGAAATGTGTGTAGTACAAAATGATAATTTCCTGGCAAGAAAGACTCACAGCTGCCAGCCTGGGCTCTCTCTCTGGACATGCAGCATCCTTAACCTGCCACCCCTCTGCACCTGGGCTCCTCTCTCTGTGTAAGGGCTCACTGGGTGCTTAAAACGTGCTCAAAACTGAAAGTTTCTCAGGGCAGATTACTTTACTTTGCAGTGCAATTTCTGCCTGGTTTGCGTTGGCTCTTGGTGGCCTCCTGACCCATAACCCCTCGTTCTTCACCTGCAAATGCCAGACTGGTGGGAGTTTTGGTGTTTGCAGTGGTGATTAAGAGGACATTGGGACCAGAAGGAGGCCACAGGAAAGTGCATTTGTCACCAGGGCCCTGATGGAGAAAATAACACCTCACTTGAATAAGGCTTTAAAGAATGTGCTGAAGGCTCATGGGTTGTCTTGACAAATACCAGTCTGGGATGTATTTGTGGAACTGTGTGCCTGTAAATCCCTCCCTTGGTATATGCTCGGTTGTCAACACCTCCCACGTGGTGAAGTTTCACCAAGTTTCCCAGTGCACTGTCAGTTTACATGAAGAGTAAAACTTTGCTTTTTTTCCTTAAAATGCATCTCTAAAATATTACTTTCTATTGCAGATGGCTTGAATTCAAAGTAGCATCAGCAAATGCATGTTAACAAGTGAAGGCCTTTAGATAATGATCTTTAACATTTTCCCCGAAAACTTGTGTTCTCAGCTTGTCACCTTCTGTGCTGCAGCTCTTCATGTATGATCAGGAACAGAGGCTTGGCTTAAATGGAAAAATCATTTCAAAAGCAAGTCCTAAAAATTTTACACATCCTGATTGACTGGGATGTAGGATTTGAACCCATCCAAGCACTCTGGGAGCGAGACTCTAACAGCACTGAGCAATTTTAAGACACATAAAAACATTTATATGAGTATATTTTATGGTAAAAGCAGACAAATTCTAGCCAATACTTCAGCAATCCAAAGGAAATCACTCATGGGATCCTGTTTATTTGCCTACATGGGCCAGGAGCAGGCACCTGCATGCAGAGAGAAGTGAGCTCCCTTCTCCCAGAGCACTGGGTGCTGGCTGCTGTAGTGGCAAAGTGCTCATCCATTTCCAGCATCATTTCACTGGAAAACTAATTCCTGATTTTCCTTTGCCACCACAGCCCAACGTGCCATGCCCAAACCAAGCCCCAAAGGTCTCAGAGTTGAACAGAATTCTGTAGAAGTGACTCTAATGGGGAATGACACGGCGGCGGATTTTTGAGAATCCCCTCATTGCTGTGCAGACCCGCAGCTCCTTGCAGGCACACGTGAGCAGGGTTTGTTATTCACTGCTGCTGTGGAATCCAGATGAGGGTTCAGTGGATTTCATGTGTGGAGCAGAGGCACTGCCTGAGGACACACAGCTGGGAAAGGCTGGGGAGATGTCTGGGGGATAAAGGGGTGTGCTCAAACACACAGCCAGCAGCAGGGTGTGCAGCCCTGGCTGTCCCAAATCCAGCAGAGATCCTGGAGCTATTGCACGGGTGCTGTGGTCGCTGACCTTGACAAGGTCAGTGCCACCAGGGACTCTTTAAAAGGTCACTTTAGGCTGCAGAAAGTGGCTTTGCTGTCCCCTCAGGTCGCATTCCTGGCTGTGCTATCCCTGTTCTGCCCTGTGCTGTCCCCTCAGCTGTGCTGTCCCTGTTCTGCCCTGTACTGTCCCCTCAGCTGTGCTGTCCCTGCTCTACCCTGTACTGTCCCCTCAGCTGTGCTGTCCCTGCTTTACCTGTGCTGTCCCCTCAGCTGTGCTGTCCCTGTCCTGCCCTGTGCTGTCCCCTCAGCTGTGCTGTCCCTGCTCTACCCTGTGCTGTCCCCTCAGCTGTGCTGTCCCTGTCCTGCCCTGTGCTGTCCCCTCAGCTCACGTTCCTGGCTGTGCTGTCCGTGTTGGTGGTTCCAGCTCGGCTGCCCCAGCCCGCAGCCCCTCCCTGGGCAGTGGAAGGGAATCCCATCAGGTTTTATTCCCTCAGGACACGCTCGGGTGTAGCAGGAGTTAAAGGAGCTGCTGCTTGCTGCTGCCCCTTGTTACCTGTCAGTCACCCAGCACCTGATCTGCTTCCAGCCTCAGGGAGCTCTGCCAGGCAGCCCTTCACAGACAAAGGCCATTTTTTGCTTTCTTTGGTTAAATTTTTTTTTTCTAAATTTCCCTCTTGCTAAAATATCAGCGTGTGCCCTAGGACTGACATGGCTTTGGCCTGATGAGGTTTTACAACCACAAATCGAGTAACAAAACATAGTGGAGAAGCAAGGGATGCAGCAAATAGGATATATCATGGATATGAAGAGGAATGCAAAGCCAGGAATGCTTCAAGCCTTGCTAGAGCTGTGCTGCAGGATGTAAGAGGTGGGAATGGATGCTGAGGCAGGAAAAGCAGGGGCAGAGGGATGGGGACAGTCACCAAGGCTGCTGTCAGAGTTAGCATCAGGAGCAGGAGCAGACAAAGATAAACATGGTCTTTCCCCTCAAAGCTGTTTTTTGGCGGTTTGGGGGGAGTGGGATGGGTGGTTTACTGTGGGAGCAGTAACAGTTCCATGAGGGGAACAAGGTGTTGGTTAAGTCAGTGTTCTGCATAAACATGTGAGACCAAGAGAAATAAATGCTCTGCTGAAAATATCGTTGCTGTTGTTTAAAAATAAGCCAGTCAACAGCTGAGTTTGAGACTGAGGAGCATTACCCGGGCAGGAACGTCTCCTCTCCTGCTTGTGTTCCCGTGTCAGTCAGCACAGGGCATTGGGAGTGAGCAGACGTAGCTGCAGGCAGGGATGTCTGCACAGGCAGGGATGTACTCACACATCCCTGGGGTTATTCATTGTGGTGCTGCTGTTGTGAGGGCCTCCAGGAGCCAGGGAGAGATGAGAATCCACTCCAAGTTCTCAGAAGGATTATATTAATTATATTATATTATGTTATGTTTGTTATGTTATGTTTGTTATATTATATTCTAAGACTATGCTAAAGGAAGAGAAAGGATACATCAGAAGGCTAGATAAGAGTGATAATAAAAACTCGTGACAGACTCAGAGAACCCAACACAGCTGGCTGTGATTGGCCATTAATTAAAAACAATTCACGTGCTGGGTAAACAATTCTTCAAATCACATTCTAGAGGAGAAAATCATGGAGAAGCTGAAACTTCCCAGGAGAAGAAATCCTGGCAAAGGGATTTTTCAGAAAATATCACAGTGACATGTCCCCAAACTGGGAGTGAAGGGCAGGCAGCAAAGACCCAGGGTCTTGTTAAAGCCACAGCTGCAGCTTTGGGATGGAGTTTGAGGTGCTGTTGTACACCTGCACTCAGAGGCTCTGGTGAGCCCTGGTGAGCCCTGGCTGTGAGCAGGGTGCTCTCTCTGAGGGGTGCTGTACTTGTGGCTTAGGAACGTTATTCCATGGCTGCTTATTTCATATTAATGACACTCATCTCTCTAAAGTAACAAGCGTGCCAACTCAGGGCCTTCCACTTTCCCTGCAGTTCTGAATTCCAAGCTTGCCTCACACAGTAAAATTTTCTGAGATGTTTTTTCATGCACTTTATCACCCAGATCAGTTTTGTTCCATCTAAATTGGGGCCATCAGCCATGCAGCCTGGTAGGAGCCATTTGTTAGAGCAGCTGTTATTTCATTGCTGTTGTGTTCCCATGCCCAACCCCAGTGCTGGCTCTGCCCTGTGTCCTGCCCAGTGCTGCCAGTAAAGTGCACTGAGCCTCAGAAATGTGCAGTGCTCACCTGGCAGGGCCGAGCTTTGCCCTGGGGATCAGAGCCCTGTGCCATTGGCTCTGCAGCCCCCCAGGTCCCCGAGTGCC